AGGCATTAGAAACTGTGCCTCTGTCCCGACATAAGAAGCCCTAGTTAGAATTTATTCGCATTCACATTTCGTAATCGTCTCATGCTTATAACGCCTCAAGCCAAACTTTTTGCACAGGACTGTGCATGTTTGAATTTGCTTCAGAAAAAATTTTGGAGTGTGTAAGCCCGGTGCGTAGCCACCCTCCATTTTGGAGGGTGTATAAGCCCTCCATTTTGGGGTTGTATATGCACAGCCTAATTCTTTTTCATGGGGGGGGGGATGATGGTAGATGTTGCATCATATTATAATTGCTTTATGACCTTTGCCAATCTTTATTAATAATTATGTTGTGGTCATCTAATTAAGGATCCAAGATTGAGTACCCTTGTAATTTTGTGGGGATTTACACTGGATCAAAAAGTAAAACTACCTTTGCTTTATGCTAGTCCTACTCATGTATCAGTACACCAATTTTCAGACAAAGATTGTGACTATTATGTGAACAGTTTTTGATGCCTAATCCATGTTATCTGAGATCATGCTTTCTCATTACTGGTGATGTGAGATCATGCATCTCATTATTGGTGATGTGATGCAAACATGTTGTGTAACCTGCTAACTACAGAGTCCCTAAGGCTGCTCTTCATACCATATTTTGCAATAAGATTCACCAACCAAGTGATGTATTTTCCATTGCTGGTCAAACATGAAATTGTTATTTTTGCAGGCTCTGGTTTGAGAGGTATTTGACAAATGATTCAATAATAACACTCATCAGGTAGCAGTTTTTTTTAGAGGGTCAGTACCTGCAAATGTGCAATATGGCTATTTAAACTATGGCAACAGCTACTAGTTCAATCTGCCAAAATGCCCAAATTTGTATTTCTTACTTAGCCTGTTGTTTCCAAAGCTTATCTCGGCAGCTCTGTGGGTAGTTACTTCATTTTATTCTATTTAAGTCTGAGTGTAATTATGAAGAGTTGATTTGTGTGTGCCAAGAAATATGAGGGAGTAATAGGCTGGTTCATGTAAATAGTGTGGCATGAGTTGGACTTAATTTAACTGTGATAGGATGACATGTTCCTTGTAACAAGTATGGCCTGCTCAAAATGCTACTATAGTTCAGTCTTGTTGTTATGGATGACAAATGAGATGGAAGAAGCCCAAGAGGCAAGCATTAAGTTGACAATTAATCTTGTTATTTGTGGTTTCATTCATTTGAAACATTGAGAAACCTGTTTGTGTTTACAAACAAGTCATGAAATATAACATTCCACTTGGTCATCAGTTAACAGTCATTTATGTAAGTACTGTACTGACGCCATGTGGCTCCCTTTGGCACAATGTGGCATCCAGTTATGTGTGTTAAGTACATTCTGTGCTTAGCATATGATCTGTTTCCATTGCAGGAAACTAAACAAGCGTACCAGGTGCCATCTTGTGGCGCAGCCTACACGGCAGCCCCCAGTGGGCCTCAGCCTGAGCGCCCCACCAGCCTCAGTGGCCATGTCGGCGGACGGGGGCGGGGACGCGTCGTCGGCGTCGGCCATGTTCGAGGAGACGAGCGTGGACGACCCCGACTGGGTGCCGTATTCCGACCGGGACGAGTGGCGGGACGTGACGCCGCTGCCGCAGGACGACGGGCCGCACCCGGTGGTGCGCATCCTCTACTCGGAGCGCTTCTCCGACGTACACGACTACTTCCGCGCCGTGCTGCGCTCGGGCGAGGTGTCCGGCCGCGCGCTGCGGCTGACGTCGGCGGCGCTGGAGCTGAACGCCGCCAACTACACCGTCTTGGCACCACCGGCGCCACCTGCTACTGGAGCTCGGCTGCCCGCTGCAGCCCGAGCTGGACTTCATCCGGCGCATGATCGAGGACCACCCCAAGAACTACCAGGTGTGGCACCACCGGCGCGTGCTGGTGGAGCGGCGCGGCCGGCCGGGCGACGAGCGCCGCCTGACCGAGCTCGTGCTTGCGCAGGACCCCAAGAACTTCCACGCCTGGCAGTACCGCCAGTGGGCCGTGCGGCGCTTCGACCTGTTCGACGGCGAGCTGGAGTTCGCCGAGCGGCTCATCGACGAGGACGTGCGCAACAACTCGGCCTGGAACCAGCGCTACTTCGTCGTCAACAACACGACCGGCTTCACGGCCGAGGCGGTGGCGCGCGAGGTCGCCTTCTGCCTGGCCGCTCTGCGCAAGGTCAAGAACAACGAGTCGGCCTGGAACTACCTGCGCGGCGTGCTGTTCCACGCGCCGGAGGGGCTGGCCGGCGCGTCGGACGTGACCGAGTTCTGCGACGGTCTCGTGGCGGCCGGCTGCCGCGCGCCGCAGCTGCTGGCGTTTGTGGTGGACGCCAGCGCCGAACGCGCCGCCGCCGGCGACGAGGCGGCGCTGCAGCGCGCGCTGCGGCTCTGCGCCGAGCTGGCCGCCGAGCACGACACGATACGGGAGCAGTACTGGCTGTACCGGCGGCGCGCGCTCGCCAGCAAACACGGCGTCGAGTAGAGGTATGTCAGCCGGCTGGGAGCTGGCCGAGCTGGCGAGCGCCGGCCGGCCCGGACGGCAGCCGGGCCACCACCTGACGGCATCGGCTCCGTCTGACCGCCGGACGCAGAGCCTCGCGTCGGCGCTGGCTTGACCCACGTGATGGTCGGTCGGTGGCTGATCTCTGGGCGTCTCATGGTGACCGGTAGCGCCGCGAGCACGAGTGGAAGCGATCAGCCACGTATGGCGCGGACGTGAGAGCGGTCAGCCACATGCGATGCGGACGTGAGAGCGATCAGCCGCGGTGGCGCGGACGTGAGAGCGGTCAGCCACATGCGATGCGGACGTGAGAGCGATCAGCCGCGGGTGTTGCAGACGTGGGAGCGATCAGCCACATGCGTTGCGGACGTGGGAGCGATCAGCCACATGCGATGCGGACGTGAGAGCGATCAGCCACATGCGATGCGGACGTGGTAGCGATCAGCCGCGGGTGTTGCGGATGTGGGAGCGATCAGCCACTTGCGATGCGAACAGGTTGGGTTGAAGCAGGATGAGGCTCGTGGGAATGGACGCGGCTTCGATGTTTGGCGCTCGATGTGCACTCGATGCGACTCGCGCCATGCTTGGTGACCTTATTTGTGGAACTTTGGTATGAAGCATCGCCCGCAATTTACGCATACGCTGTGGGTGGTTTGGAACCTGGAAGGAGCAGATGAAGCGCTTGTTGCGTAGTAGTTGCGCTTCCCCGGCTCTCTTGTTGATACATGACAGTGCGATGAATGCCGCGATAACTGCACAGTCCTGCCCCACAACGCGTTATATTTGAGAATAAAAATCGATTTATGATTGTACTCGCATAGCTTGCTGGTGGCGTGGCCTGCATATCGGTGCGTGCTAGCGATGTTTTCTCCCCTCTGAGCCCGCGCGGGTGTAAATCAAGCTCTCGAGAATTAGGAACCGTCGCACAACGCGCAGACACCGACGCCCAAACGCGCTTCAACTCCCAGCCGTGGTCCGATTCATTGAGGCGCGCACGTGCACGATCGGTGCGCTCCGAGACTGCCGAAGTACCCGCATATGAAGGCTGTCAACTGAGCCCGAAGCGGCGAACGAACGTTCTCGCGGACAGGACGCGCCGCTCGTCGCCGCGGATCTGACTGACACGGTGTTGGAACCCGGGCAGGCGCTGGTTACGTTTTGAAGGCCGCCCGGTGGCGGAGCCGAAGCCAGCGGCTGGCATCCACGGTCCCGCAGGCTGCGGAAGCCGATGCATTGAAACTACTGACAATAATCTCATCCGGTGTATTTCAGCATCACGTGATTGGGGGCGACACTGAGAGCGTCGAGCAACAGCATTGGGAAACAGGAGCACGGCACGGGCGGCTCCCGTGCCGCCGACAACACCAGGTTCCTCGTGCCCCCAGACGGAACACGCCACGCATCTCAATTGGCACCTACACACCGATCCACATTTACCTCAAAATGCTAGTGATGCCTGCCGGCCCGCCTTTCCGCGACGTGTGGCGGCCTGGCCCGGGCTGCTGTCTCACGATGACGTGGATCGTCATCGGCACAACTGTGACGCAGCGTTGCTATCCGATGTAGAATAAGAGGCATCTCCACTTGACGGCAAAGATGAACCGCCATCAAAAGCATGATCGGAAAACTCAGCCGGCTCTGCGCTTCGGCTTGAAACGACTTGCATTTCAAACCAAGCGCAACCGCTGACGTCATTTGTTCGCAAGTCTTGTGCGGGGCTGAAGAGACCCCGCGCGAACGCGAGCCCTGCAGAGCCCAGCCCTGTGCAGCAAAAGTGTTATGGCAGGCACCCGTGCCATCACCGCGCAATGTTAATCGTCCACATTTACGAAGATGAAATGACCTGCAAACACGAGTCACAATGAAAACAATGATCACAAATCGCTCACGCCACACTGCGCGCCGCACCACACGCACTCACAGAACACACATCAGCGGGCCGCGAAGCGTTTCACGTCTGTCGCGGCGCCTGCACGCGTTTTGTACTCGAGGCTGTGCTCCGCGGGAGCACGGTGCTCAATAGATGGCGTCCGAGGCGAGGTTGGCGCGCAGCTCGGCCGCGCTCACCGGGTTGTAGCGGGTGCTGCCGCTGCGGCGGATGGTGGCCGTCTTCTCCGAGACCAGCTCGCCGCCCTTGACCGAGCCGTTGCGGCGGCGGCCGTTCTTCAGCTCGGCCAGCTCGTGCACGCCCGGCACGCCGCGCACCGTCACGTACGCGTTGGGGCTGACCGCCTTCGGCAGCGCGTCGTAGTACTTAGAGGAGCGCACGCCCGGGTGGCGCCGCCGCGTCAGGTGGTAGTACGTGCAGACGGTCGCCAGCAGGGCGCCGGTGCAGAAGCAGCCGAGGCAGGCGGCCACCATGCGGCCGGTGCCGATGGCCGGCGCGGTGCCCGTGGCCGCCAACAGTACGCTCTCTGCAGGGAGAGGGCGTTGTGGCGGCGCTGTTGCAAACGGGCCCACTTACGGGGGCTCGCCAGGGAGGAGTGACCACTCGTCACTCCGCTGTTGTGGGACAGCCCCGGCCTTCGGGTGGCCAGTTAAGCACATTTATCTAATGTACAGCAGAACTACGCAAGATTTTAAGTAGCTTCATTTCATACCCAAAAACATTCCACAACCCGCCACTAGCCTTGCAGCATTCAACGCGGGAATGAAATCAACACCTACTGATTACCCCACTCAAATCGACCGGGCTTCGGTCAGTGGCACTTGGTCCACCGCCTAAGACCAGCAAGAATCTCAACACTGCCGCGGCGGGGGACCGACCGGGCATTTCCGCAGCCCTCAGCCCGCTGGTGGCGACACCTACCGTCGCCAGTGTCGACGCAGAGCCGGGCCTGGCGGTCTTCGCCCTGGCACAGCTCGCCGCCCGGCTCCGAGACCATGCAGTGGCGGGCGCGGTGCTGCTCGCCGCGTGCGTCGCACAGGCTCCACACGGACCTGGCGGCGGGGGCACGGGCGTGCAGGTCAGGCGCGCCAGGCGGGCTGGCGGTGCGGCGCGCTGTACGCGCCAGGGAGACCCGCTCGGCAGCCGACACTGCTCCAGACCGCGCCGGCGAGAGGGACTTGAACTATGCGCGGCGCAATATTCTGCTCAAGCCATTGTGCCCGAGCCAATGTCCGGAAGGTGCCTTGACTTTCAAAGCAGTGCTCCAAAACAAACTTCCATTATTGAAATGTTTTTCGAAGTTCAGAAATTATCGGTTTTTCCTAACTTTGGCCATATTAAGGAAAGTTCCAGTTAGCTCCTCCATCCACCTTTCGCCATCGCGTTCAAGTCACAAGATGTCAAAAGTTAAAGTTCGTAGTTCGTACCATTGATTCCACCCCTCAAGGCTCGTGCAGCTGGTCATTTCGCACGGCTCCTCAGAGGTGGCAGCACCGTCGCAGATCACGTCGGCGGAGCCGGCGGCCGCAGTCGCCCGGCACTCTCTGTCGCGCCGGCGACGGCCCACACCGCAGGAGACGCTGCAGGCGGACCACTCGGACCAGCAGGACCAGTCGCCTGAGGACCCGGGACCACCCGGTCAGCGTCGGCCGGCCCTCGCGGCTCCAGCTGCAGTCGGATGCAGTGCCCCCCCCACCCCCCCATCACATCCGTCCTCCGCACAAGGCAAGGCCGTGGCTCTTGGCATGCCCGGCCGTCCCGTGACTTCATGATGTGTGCCCATGAGCACAGGCGGCCACGGATCCAGAAGGCCCCGGTACATCCAAGCACCAGGGGTTTCTCTTACGCTAGTGTGAATGAGTCCTGTACTTGGTTGCAGTTGGTCGTATCTGTTCACCCATCACAGAGCCCCTAAAAACAAACACGCGCGTACGGACCACAGAAAAATGCACATTTCATCATTAATTCATGTGCGTAAGCAACGCTCGAACTGCGTAAGCTGCCCCCCATCGCGTCATCGAGGCTTACCTTTGCAGCGTTGAACGTTACACTCCTGCTCCACGCGGCTGGGTCCCAGACAGGCGGCGCTGTCTCCGTCGCACGTGCGAGACTTGGTCTGCACACCGCCGCCGCAAGGGACGGAACACTCGGACCACGGACTCCAGTCGCCCCAGCCCAGGCCCGTCCAGTTGGCTGCAGCACGAAACCATGGCGTGACCGTTAGGGGAACGTAGACAAGCGTGTGTGAGGTATTAGGGACAGCCGATGTCACATGGAAGACGAACGTACCCGGTAAACAAACCATATTAACTGATAAGTTTCTTAGGTAATCCAGTAGCGTTCTGGGAGCTGAAGCCTAAAACGGGCTCAGGGCTCCAAGGTGCACATTCATGCCATCGATAATGGCACAAGCACTTAGGCAGCAAATTATCTGAGGTCAAATTAGCCGACAGCTTTTAATTGCAAATAACGTAATCTGAACATGCACGCAACCTCGTTCCGTGGCTCTGTTGCATCTCCACATAACCCTGCTTCGTCAGAGAAGAGGGTACAAAATTAAGAGATACCTCCTTCATCCTGGCAATATAGAACTTGCCACAAGCCATAGGTTGGTGGGTGAGGACGAGATAAAGGCAACGGGGAAGATCAGATGTTGGAGAATCTGGCGAGCGAGACAGCGTGAGATCCGACTACAGATATCAGGAAATAGGCAAGGGGAATAGTGACAGGTGACAACATGAGGCGAGGGAGGGCATCGCCCAGGTAGAGGGGATGGCGAGCGGCGAGAGGATGGCGCCAGATGAGCGGGGATCCTTACCTGGCGAGCAGCGTCCATCGGCGTCACAGTGCCGCTCGTCCAGCCGGACTGACGACACCCGGATCAGGCCGGGCTCCGCCACCGGCGCCGCGCACTCGAACCGGAACCGCTGCTGGCGGCCATCGCTGCCGTTGGCCGCCAGCCACGGCGTCCAGCCGGTGAGCCGGCGCTGCTCGGCGCACGGCTGCGCGCCGCACGCGCCGTACTCCAGGTCGCAGCCGAGGCACGGCCGGCCGCCGTTGACGGGGCGCGGGCTGTCGCAGGCGCGCCGCCGCCGCCGGAAGCCGCCGCCGCAGCGCGCCGAGCAGCGGCCCCAGCTGCCCCAGCGCCCCCAGCCGCCGTCCACCGGCAGGGTGGTCTCGGTGGGGCACGGCGGGTTCGAGTGGCACATGATCTCCTGCGCATCGGCGCCGGTGCAGCCGCGGCCGCCGTGCACCGGCGACGGGTTGGCGCACGAGCGGCGCCGCGACTTGATGGCCACGCCGCACGGGTGTGAGCACGCCGACCAGGCCGACCAGCCGGTCCAGCCGCCGTGGCGCGTGCAATTTGTGACCTGGGCGGCGAGGCCGGCGCACTGCGCGCCGCCGCGCGCCGGCGTCGGGCTCGAGCAGGCGCGCCGCCGGCACAGGCACGGCTCGCCGGCGTCCTCGCCCTCGACCACCTGCCGGCACTGGCGCCATGCGCTCCAGGCGCTCCAGCCGCCGTCGACGGGTCGGCTGAGGTCGGGGCACTGTGTCACCGGCTGCCGCCAGGAGGGTGCGTCCGGACTGCGGCCGGGTGGCGGGCTGCAGAGGGCGCGCGCCGCGTCCCAGCCGCAGTACGGGTCCATGGCGCCCAGGCAGCTGGTCTCGCTCCGGTACCGCTCGCAGCGCTGCACCGGCACACGCACCAGCGCCGAGTCCGTGCCCAGGTACAAAGAGCCCTGTGGGAGAGGAGGGCCGGTCAAGACGTGGAACAATACCAGGCCTGTTCGCGCCCCCCCCCCCCCTCCTTATACCCCCCCAGGACAGGGCTTAGCGGGGTCACAGGACCGGACAGCAAATGCATCAGGATATAGGCTATACCCAGATGCACCGCTGTGACGGGGAGCGGGATGACATGCACAACAAACACTAGTTTTCAGTCCATGCTTATGCCTTGGTAATGCACGCCTTGACACTCCAGGAAGTTGAACGCAATATCATTCCGCGGACAGCTCGGTAAATACCCTCAAAACCGAACGGGTTCGCGCACGTTTATCCATTTCATTTGCAGCGGCTGAAGTCGACACTGGCGCCAAGTTTCTGAACACAAACGCCGTTGGAACACCCTGGGACACTCACCGCCTCGCTCAGCAGCCTCATGGTGAGGATGGTGGTGGGCGCCGCGAACGGCTGCAGCACCTCCAGCAGGCACGTCTGCCGCGAGCGCGGCACCACGCTCAGCTTCCTGATGGTGCCGGCCGTGTCCGCCACGAACAGCACGTGCACCGACACGTGGTGCTTGGTGGTGATGATGTCAGTGGCGACAGCCGTCAGTCTGCGCCGCGGGATGCAGGACACGGTCAAGACACGGGACGGGGAAGAGTTTGATGTGCGCCGATAGAGCGGCGTCAACAGTCCTTTGTTGATGAGAGGCTGTGTGTTTTGAAGGCGCCACCTAAAACCAACCTCATGTGACGTCACAACCATTTTGCGAGGAGCGTATGCTGGGTACATCTTGTGACACACCAGATGTGCACTATGATTGAAGGCTGTTGAAAAATGTTGCAAGTCTAAACGATGGTTTGACATAACCAGTCATGTTACTGTATCAGCGCATTGCCCCCAACATCCCTGGCAGCAGACACTTCTAAAATGCACACACGCCATTGATTAATACTGACCACCTTTCAAGCATCGCACTGCATTTGAAGTTTTGAAAAAATACGCAGTACGACAAACGACAAAACGCGTCGCTCTGGGAACATATACAACTGTTTTAGCTGGCCGACTACGCCAGTTTGATTTCCGAATCAAACTCGCCGCGTCAGCTCACAGCACAGTTTCCAAGAGCTGCAGGATCGGGACCTCCTCTGCCGTCTGGATTTCCCTAACCCCTCCTCCGCCCCTAACCCCGAGCCGACCTGCAAAACCTGACACCGTCCAGCCGGTACAGAGGTCCAGCTGCCCCTCCCCTCCCCTTGACCAGCACTGACCTGACCCCGTCCAGCCTGTACAGCGGGTCCAGCTGCTCAGGCTGTACGGCCTCGTGCATCAGCGAGTAGTGCGACAGCTCGGCCAGCTCGTGGCGCGAGGTCAGCTCAGGCGAGCCGCACTCGAAGTGTGTGTGGTCCAGCTGACGCCGCTGCCACGCGCCGTCCGGCACCGGCTGGTGCTGGAACGGCCCGGCGAACGCCGACGCGATCGCCGACATGTTGAAGGCGCACACGGCGGAGGCGGCCAGGCCGTTGCTGCGGGCGGGACGGAAGCGCGTCAGAACGCTGAGGCGGACGGAGCGGTCTGGAGGCGGCCGCCGCTCGCTTCGCCGGACTGCTCCGGCGGCACCGGCCGAACCCGGGCGGCGTGAGATGGGGCTGAGATGAGATGGGCGGCGTGAGATGGAGCTGTCTACTGGCGGGGAGGGGGGGGGGGATAAGCTAAGATATATCCGGCGACGAAGGTGGCCACGGAGGGACCAGGTCATAGATAGACGCGGAAGTCATCGTAATATGAGCAGCCTTTAGGTGGCCCGAGTCCCTGCCTCCTCTCTCCCCCCCCCCCCCCCTCCACACACACATTTGGGAAAATTAAGCTTTAGGCTTTCAGCAGTGCCTGTAAAGAAACAAATCGAAGTGCTTCTGAGGCTTCCCAATCCTGGTAAAACTCCTCTGCTCCCGGGACCCTGCCGGCCCACACCAAATGCGCGTTATTCAGTACTGCAGCACCCTGTTTCATTGCCATGTGCATTACCGTGTGTAAAAACTCTGTACTAAACACAAATTGCAACTGCTACTCGTAGTTGGCTGCTAATCTCCAGCAGGCTAGGGTAATGCTGGAAAATTGCATCTTTGTGGCACTTCCACATAATTCAGCGCAACGCCGTAACGAGGCGTGTTCCGGGTTACACGCGCTGGGTCTCAGCGTACTGGTCGCATCATACCTGACCCTGGCCGCTGCAACAAGAACCTCTTACACCTAGACCAGTGCATTGAATTGAGCCTTACTGACGCCTCATTTCCGGCCAGTTTACGCTGTAGCCTGCTAGTTTCTTCTGCGCTGTAATAGACCAGACAGCGGCTACCAGCGAACATTTCGCCGCAATAGCGTCTGCGGCATGACACGAATCGTCTGGCGGCCTCGGCTGTCCTTGGGACCGTAATCACCACACGGCGGCGGCCCGTCCTGAGGCAGAGGCGGCAATGCCGACGTGTCCGCCGGGGCCGACCAGCGTGGCGCGCCAGCACAGCAGCCGCGCATGGCGCGGGCCGACCTGACTGGGGTGGGTGTGACGGTAGTGGAGTGGGGGTGACGGTGGTGGGGTGGTAGTGAAGGTGGTGGGGTGATAGTGACGGTGGTGGGGTGGCAGTGACGGTGGTGGGGTGGGAGTGATGCGGGAGGGGGAGGGGGAGAGTGACGCTGGCGGGGTGAGGATGACCGAGGGGGGAGGGGAAGAGCGGCGGCGCAGGCCGGCTCGCCGCCGCCATCTGCGGCCGGGCGGCGGGCCACGCCCGGCGCGGATCAGCAGCTCCGCAGTCAGAGCCGGCGCGCGTGACCGAGGGGAGCGTCAGCACGAGCAGGTGCGCCGATCGCGGCGGCCGCGCTCAATGAAGCGCCGCCCATTGAGGCTCAGCGACCGGTGTCGATGCCAGCCGAGATAGGCAGACGTTCGGGGAAAGACGCCACTCATCAATGCCGCGTGGCATGACTCCAGGCTGGAGCTGGGAGCCGCTACCGGCTTTGTTGGTAGGCTTTGTGAGAGCTGGGACTTGTACGCACGATACATTGCTGGCTCAGGATTAGAAAAGTAGCGCCCTCAGAGCTATGCATGTGAAAGGAAATTAGTCCCTTCCGCCTACGCCGGATTTACATCCCCTCACGGTGCACTGCCCATGACTCAAAACGCGAGCATGGATTTTCTATGAAGTCAGTTCTCCGAACTTTCCTGCACGAGTTAAATATGTGCTTTCGTAAGAAATCGGTTCATCTTGGTAGCACAAGTGCACGAGGTAACTAACGCGCTTGTACCGCTTCTGGCAAAAACGCTGCTGCGGCGATAAATCCGGTTTGTACTCTTCTCGGTATCTCGTTCAAATTATACGCTCCAAGAAACCGATGCTAAATCCGAAGGTGACAGCACATTAGACCTTCACGCGTCAAAACCTAATGATGCTGACAGAGGGCGAGACATGGCCGCGCCTGTGGCGATGACGCTGTGGTTTATTTACGTACGCTGGGTATCATTCCGCACCCAAGGCGCTTCATGAAGGTCCAAAAGTCTTTTGTGGGACGTTTCATCCCTGACAATCGTATGCAACAACAACAACCGCGAGGGACGTTACATTCCTGACAATCTGATGCAACAACAACAACCGGGCAGGACATTACATTCCCGACAATCGTATGCAACAACAACAACCGGGTGGGACGTTACATTCCTAATAATCGTATGCAACAACAACAACCGGGCGGGACGTTACATTCCTAACAATCGTATGCAACAACAGCAACCGGGCGGGACGTTGCATTCCTGACAATCGTATGCAACAACAACAACCGGGCGGGGCGTTACATTCCTGACAATCGTATGCAACAACAACAACCGGACGGGACGTTACATTCCTGACAATCGTATGCAACAACAACCGGTAAACAAGATCATCTTCTCACCTATCTGGCCAGGTGAAGGTACTCAGCCAGGTACCAAATGGTACAAAAACGCGCTATCCTTCACTTCGGGTGGAAAATCCATTTCCCCGGTTCTCGCTGTACTTTAATACACCAGAATGCATTGCAGGAAGCGAGCGTGACAATAGAGTTTCAAATATGCTTTCAAGCATCGCGCGACATGCCAGTCATTCGTCCTTATAACATTTATAGAATGCCAAGAACGCATTGTTTTCACGTGCATTGTGCGAGAGCATTCATTCACAAGCCACGTTTGCCGCTCACCAGGTGAATAGCAACACGGAGCTATGGAATTGACTTTTGATAGTTAAACGTTTAACAGGATAGAGTTTGCAAGTCACGGGATGTCAGCACGGAACGTTAATTAATCGATTAATCACCAATGTCTTATTCAAATTTGAGTTGTGTCTGCAGCCGAGCGCATCAAAAGCCTTCTTTTGGCATCTTAGACTGCTTTAGTGACTGCCCGCAGCGTGACGTCGTGAGGCGCTTGACGGGGCATCAGCTGTGCTGGTGGGAACAGCTGACTTCAGTATTGCCACATGTCAGCACGATCTCACTGGCGTGAAAACAAGCGTGTCTATCGGCCGCATCTGCTTACAGCCGGCAACTCATTAGCGGCCTATCGACGACTCTCGCGTCACCGTACGTGACGTCATCTGCTGCTAATGGCTTCCTCCGGCCGATTAGATGACTGTGTGGTCACAATCGGGACTCCGTGACCCGGAATGGTGAGATCAGCGTGGACAGGTACCATGGACGGGATGGCGGACTTAGAGAAGACCGACTCCGCCACCCGGGGTGGTGATCTCAAAGCGGACGGACTCCCTGACCCAAGACGGTACGATCAGAGCGGGGAATTCCGTAACGCGACGTGATGGGTTCAAGGCCGAGGAGCTCCCGTGACCTGCTGCAGTGGGTTCAGAGCACAGGAACACGTGAGGTGGTGGGCCCAAAGTGAAACTCCGCCGGCATACGGCCTTCACAACGCCCGCGTTAGCAGCCCACCATTGCAAAAGCCCAGCCCAGACAATTCAATCAGTTTCGCTGACGTCGTTTTTCAGCGGCTGCTCAGCGAGCGCCACGGACCGCAGGCTTTAATTGGCTCTGGAGCGAGCGGCGGCCGCGGCGGCTGACTCGGCACATTAGCTGGGTGCCGGCCGGCCCCGGCGGCGGCCGCTGCTCCCGTGACACCGAGCAATCTCCCTCCCACCGGAGGCCGGCTGCTGGAGACGAGCGCCGACTCACCTCTGCACAGAGGCCGGGACTCCGCGCTCCGTGAGCAGCGCTTCGCGGGAAGCGGAGGGGACCGGCTTCAAGACTCGAATAGCTGACGTGTTTTCGGCTTACCCCGTGTCCACTGACCCGTCCGTCGGTGTTCAATGGATATATGTCGCTTGCCGGGGAACTCTACAACCGTTTCTTATTTCGTTTCTTTGTCAACATCATGCTGGCAGGGATGCCGAGGAGAGGATAATTTGGAGTCTTTCTTTCCAGGAAAAATAAATACACACTCTCTTAGCTAATTGGATCGACGGCTCACATTCTGTTACGACGCTATATTGTATCCGTTCACAAGACCCTTCGTTGGCATAAAATTATTGTATGGACGATATACGTTGAAATGTGGGGGATCATTCTTTTACTAGCGGCCGCCAATTCCCATGTTTGAAAGATCGAAGTTCAAATTTTGATCAACAGCAACTGTTCACTGGAATTATAAACCAACTGCCTCCAGCCAAATTACCATGAAAGCAACAAGTAATGACCCATTGCAAAACATATGTTTTTTCAACGGCACACCCCCAAAATCCGCTTGGTCCTCTTCCGGTACCAGTCATGTTGGTTGGTGTCCAATGTTCGTCCCTATTTGGCGCGGGGCTATTTACGTTGGCCTATGCGATGGTCAATGACCAACCAATGCCTGCCTCTCACAAGGCTGCATGTCGAGTACCCACGTTAACCCATCTTCGCACCGGCAGTAAACAGGTGTTCCCCTCCCAGCCACAGGAAGTGGCTCGCACCAGCATCGAAGGACACTGCCAAGGTCTCTCCCCCTCCCCCCCCCCTTGGCCGTCCGTCCGATTGACACAGCACCCACACACCCACACCCAATCAGCCGAAGCAGCCGCTTGGGCACACAGACCGCGCGGCACGACCGGGCGCCTGCGCGCACTCACTCGGAGGTGGTGAACGTGGCGTAGAGCACCTCCTCGCGGTCCAGGTAGTGCACGCCCTGCACCTCGTCCAGGTAGAACGGGTACTCGCCCGACACGGAGCAGTTGAGGCGCGCCTTCACGGCCGTCGTCCACACCTGGCGCCGGTCGCCGCGGTCGTTCTTGCACACCCGCGCGATTCGAGAGTACACACGCTGGCAACGAGGCAAGGTCGTCATAAGGTGGGCTGCAAGGTCCCACGATGGCCAGAAGCACGCTACAACTACGTAACCTGGCAACTGATCGCCTGCGAATCAAGCGTACTTTAAAGGACGCGGAAAACGAATTGAGGCATGAGTGGGATCACGGCTCCGGCCAGTGAGTGTAAAATATCATACCCTGCCATCAACGAGATGTGGAGCAACAACGCTGTCATAATGTATTGCAGCAAGGATCAAATGCCGTGCATCGTCATAGCATGACGCTTGACTGCGCCATGGTAATAATGACACCATCTGTCAACGTGTGCGGAGTTTTCTCCCACCGTTGCCGCACAGCTGCATCATAAAACGTTTCCACAGTGAGATCTCCGCGGCCAGCGCCTCGTGCAGCCGACGTGAAGTCGGCCACCGCGCACGCGTGAGCGAACGGTACGGAGATTGGCTGCCATTTGACTGTCACGTGGCCGCTCGCGGACTGACGCCAACGCGGCTTCCATATGACCGGTCAGAGCTGCCAAACGAGCGGCCGGCGGCGGCGAGAGTCGCCGGTGACACAGCAGAGGCGGGAGCGCCGCCCAGCCACCGGCGCCTGTCCGGCGCGACGCCGGCCCGCCCGCCCACCGGCCCCACTAATGACAGGCCGGGGGCAGCGCGCAGGGTCAGCGCGCAGGGTCAACGCGCAGGGTCAGCGCCCCGCTCACCTTGCCGCAGCTCATGTACTCGACGGCGTCCTCGCGGAACACGAAGTAGACGAACGGGCCGGACTCGAACGAGCCGACGAAGTCGGGCGCGCTGAGCAGACGGCTGTCGTACTTGCTCGTGCGCAGGCTGGGCGCGCCTCCGCCGCCGCCGCGGAAGATCGCCGGGTCGAGCCCCGAGAAGTCGGTCGGCGTGGCGGCGAATACGGCGCCCTCTGACGTCACCAGCGACGTCACGTTCAGCTGCGGCGCGTACGGGCTGACGGCGATGCCCGACTCGGTGGCGAGCACCGAGCGGAGGGAGCTGAGGCGACGCCACGAGCAGAGCGGCTGGAAGGCGTTGGTGCCGCACGCCAGCAGCCGCTCGCCGTGCCGGTGCAGCACGCGCACGAAGTTGTGGCAGTCGGCGGCCGTCTGGCCCTTGTTCTCGCACATGGTGACGGTGGCGGCGGGCGCCGGCCAAGGGGCCGACTCGAGCTCCTGCAGGCCACGCACGCTGAGCCGGTACAGGTGGTCCCTGCGGCGACGGCGGCACGTCAGGCCGGCGGGAGCGGCGACCGCGAGCGCAGACGGGTGGTCTGAGGAGCGGCCAGGGCGGCGGTGGGAACGGGCTCACTCGGATGAGCGGATGAGCGAAAGTGGTTCAAGCGGGATGCAGGTAAATGCAGGAGTCAAATAGCGACGGCAGACCGTCTACCTGAGGACAGCACAAGTCGTAGCCGCGTTGCTCCATCATTGGCGAATGGTGCGGAGCACGAACAAGAGGCCGGTCGGAAGAGCACGTATCGCGTGAGCTACCACGGAAACACTCGATTCTTGCAAGCCCACAGGCGGTCCTAACGCGAGCGCGGGCGCTTACTGCGGTGCAGACACACTACACCAACTATTGACACAATTGTCACATTTGTCAGTAACGCTACGAAATCTCAAGCAACTGTCGCAGGACAGGTCATCAAATTTCAGGTGCGAGTTCGGTTCGCTGGGTCAGAACTTCAGGACGCCGACGATGACGTCACATGCTCCCGCACCAACTCAAGACGAATCGCACGAAGCGTTAATTCGAAGCGATGGCGCGCGCTCCGCACCGTCGGCACGAGTGTCCAGTGCGGCCGGGCAGGAGCACGTGTGAGCGCGACCAGTCGGACCAGTGACGGGATCTTGGCGATCGCTTTGATACTTTTGGTGATTAGGCGGAGAGGAATGAATCACGCGCCCGGTGCGAGCATAGGTGCGGCGCTGAGCGCCTCTGGGAACAATTACAGCGCGATCAGACCTAATGGGGACCGGTGACCGGCAGGCTAATGATGCGGTCGAAGGGCTGATCACCTGTCACCTGCTGGGGAGGGGGAGGGGGGGGGCTGATCACCTGTCACCTGCGGGGGGGGAGGGGCGGGGGCTGATCACCTGTCACCTGCTGGGGAAGGGGAGGGGCGGGGGGGGGCTGATGAGCCCCGCCGGCGTCGGATGACCTCGCGTGGGCTCACCTGGCGCCGACGATGATCTGGTACTTCTGAATGTCGAAGAGAATCTCGGAGAACCTCGTGGCATTCTCGGGTGAGAAGTGATCCAGAGACGCCTGCAGCTCTGGAACCGCGAGAGCAGGGAGAATCAGCCCACAGTGTCGCGTCACTCGGTTCTCAGGGATACGGGTCTGACTGGACCAAGACTGCTTCGGTGGTGCCGTCTAGCCGTGCTGATTGGTGTCGCACTTCCAGCGCGGGAGTTTGATGTTCCTCCCACGCATTAGCGTGGACAGTTCCGGACTGTCATTGTTTTCCTTGTAATCTGGCCCGGAACGTGGCGTCCTTCGGTGCTGAACGTGGGCCTGACACAGGTCAACCAGGTGTGTCGACTTCACCAGCTTCGTAGGGTAGGGCATAGTTAACTGCCTCGTGGCGACCAAACGAGGCGGTCAGAGCTTCATATCTTCAGAGAGACTTGCCCGCGTGTGTCATGGATGAGTTCAGGGGACTTAACAGGGAGATGTTGCAATACGAACACATATGCCATCACCCTTCGACGAAACATAGCAGCGCAATGTTTAAACTTCCCAGATCATGCCGCAGTACTGGGAATGCCGCACAATACCATCCCATTCATTATCCCTCTATAATGGGTGCGTGGGTGAATACCAGAAATCACCCAGGCGGTTTCAAACGAAGCCCATATACGTGAAGACATATCTGACAGCCTGCCAACGGCCGCTTTAAAGTCCACGGCTGGAATGCAGGCAGTTAGACTTTTAAACGCGATACCGGCCGCCGACCGCAGTCTGTCTCATTGATATGCTGCGCGCGCCGGGATTTGCAAACATGCCACGCGCCGTCGCATGACAATAGGGCTGAATCATACCGGTCGGCTCCGGTGAAATCGTCCCTATTGCACGTCCTGATCGGGTCTTTATCATTCATGCGGGCGGCTCCGCCCGTGGCTCCGCTGGCCAGCGCACAATATATGACTATTGGTCTGGAAGGGCGGTGCAGCGCATGCCACCGACGCCCATGGCATCCGTTACGGCCAGTAGTATTGGGTTCGGTTGTGCCGCAGGGCCGGCGGCTCGTGTTGATGACCTCCTGCGAGGCCGCGGTGGCGGATCCGGCGCCGCCCCGGCGCGGGCGGCACCGCCGGACGGCAGTGACCTCCCAGACGCCACGGGAGCGGACCTGGCGCCGCCTCGGCGCGGGCGGTACCGCCGGACGGCGGTGACCTCCCAGACACCACGGGAGCGGACCTGGCGCCGCTCTGGTGCGAGCAGCACCGCCGGACGGCGGTGACCTCCCAGACGCCACGGGAGCGGACCTGGCGCCGCCCTAGTGCGAGCAGCACCGAACGGCGGTGACCTCCCAGACGCCAGGGGAGCGGATCTGGCGCCACCCTGGTGCGAGCAGCACCGTCGGACGGTGGTGACCTCCCAGACGCCACGGGAGCGAGCCTGGCGCCGCCCTGGTGCGCCCTGGCAGGACTCAGGCGACGCCCAGACGCCACACACGTGGACATGGAGACAGTAACCCGGAGGCTGACAGCGAACTCACGGCACACGCCCAGACATGGGTGTAACTAACATGGTTGTAACTAACATGGGTGTAACACGGGTGTCTCTGAGATCGAATGAGACAGAGCAAGGATTGGACGGGTCAAACCGGAGTCTCGGGGCCTGGCCTAGAAATGACATTCTGAATGGGAAAACGTGTAAAGCATGCATTCTTCCGGCGAAATTAGACTTCTAAGATCATTGAGGCGGGACATGCCCCAGCCCCCCCACCCGCAGCGGTTACACCCCAGCACCAAGAAGAGCACCTGTGGCATCAGCACCTGGGGCGTTAGCATCTGGGCGTCGGCAGGTTCAAAGCTAATGCAGTGGAGCAATGAACATTGTTTTTTTTTGCGTTCGCAGCAGCCGTGCTCCAGTGGCATGCACCGACTGCGGCTTACAGGTCACGAGTTCCGTGTGCTCAGCTGCGGGTGTTCCGGCCCGGCCCGTCGGACCCGCTCAGCACGTGATGGCGGGGCGAGGCGGCGGCGGAGGCAGCGCCCCCCGCTGACGACACCGCGCCGGCCGGCGCTCCCGCTGCGGCCGGCGCGCCGCTCAGGCGACCGCGAAGACGGCGGTCGTCGCAGACAGAGACTCGTCGCGAGGCGCGCTGGGTTGCGCGGACAGCTGTTGCGCACCGCTGTCGGCTTAGGGACGGGAGACATCGACGGCGAGCTGTTCATCGGTCATGCTATTGGACGTGGCGATTCCAGGCATGTCTCGCGTATCGTTATGGTACGCGGGGAGCAGCGCTCGACTGGGTTTCCGCCGAAAATTGCTGGAAACGGGACCCTCATTCCCCTAGCGGCTCACTACGTCAGAAGTTGAGGATAGTCTTTAACAACTTGCCTCACCGCGATCTAGCGCAACGAATGACAATCACCAATATCTGCCACCCAGAATTCAGCACAGTCGAACGAGACCGTATCGATATGTGCAGGGCGACCTCGTTGCATTCTTGCACCTGGATGAGCGATCGTCGACCTAACATGGTTGCACCTGTTTGTAACTCCAATCACGTACAATGCGGTGCTTCGAACAAAGGGGAGGAAACGTGGGTGCCGATACGGTGCCACGATAGGACACAATGCGTCCTGTTCATTGTGTAAGGACCTGAGTCAGCACCGCCAGCAATGGCATCACCACTGAGCCCGCTCGCGGCCTCCCCGGGAGCTCATTCAAAGAGGGCGTTCGCCGCCAGTAAATCGCAGCCGGTGACATCGGCGCAGCCCGCAGCCCATCTCGGTCCCACCCAGCCCTCTGCAGCGGCCGTGCCGGAGCCGGCCGCCGCTGCCGCTGAGCGGAGCGGCCCGCTGTCAGAGCGGGACGCTGCGGCGCTCACCACCCGGCCGACGGGGCGTGACGGCGCGGCGGTCGGCGCAGCACGCGCGCTCGTGCATCACGTGATTGGCGCCGTCAGCACGCCGCGTCCGCTGGCAGAGTCACGTGCGCCGAGCTGCGGCCGCGGACATAGGATCGGGACGTGTCAGGGGCCGCGGAGGGGACAGAACTGTGTACGTGGCCTGCTGACGGAGCACACGCGGACTACTGACGGAGCACACGAGGTCTGCTGACGGAGCACACGAAGTCTGCTGAAGGAGCACACGTGGACTGCTGATGGAGCACACGTGGACTGCTGATGGAGCACATGTGGATTGCTGACGGAGTACACGTGACCTGCTGACGGAGCACACGAGATCTGCTGACGGAGCACACGAGGTCTGCTGACGGAGGACACGTGGACTGCTGATGGAGCACACGTAGATTGCTGACGGAGTACACATGACCTGCTGACGGAGCACACGAGGTCTGCTGACGGAGCACACGAGGTCTGCTGACGGAGCACACGTGGACTCCTGATGGAGCACACGCGGCCCGCTGGCGGAGCACAGGTGACTCGCTGACGGAACACACAGCCTGCTGACGGAGCAGACGTGGCTCGCTGATGTATCGCGTCCATGCATTGGTGCAGGGAACGAGTCCACATCGAGGCGTTCGATTTCATGTTCACTACGTGTTATAATAAGACCGCGCACAATTATTGCAGTATAATGCAAAAACTAGAATTAAAAGGGGGCATAACGACATAGCAAAGCAAAATCGCAAAATTTTCCAGACCATTTGACTCGAGGCAGTTTTCCGGGAGGAAAATTACGTTCTAAGCGGTTCGAGCAAAACCAAGGCACAGAAGTCCTGAAACAAATACGAAATTAATCACATTATGACGATTTCAAAGCTCCGCAAACATCAAATAACAAATCCTAGGTCAGGCGCTTCAAAACAAAATAACTTAGGCATGGGCGGGGGGGGCAACTGAACAACAGAAACGTGAGAAACGACTGAATCCGGGGTAACGGTGAACGTCGTTTGGCCTTTCGATCAAGTGATATAACTGGCTTTGTGGGCTACAAAGCCATGCACGCTGCATACATGACAGCCCTGTCATGTACACCGAGTGAAGTGTGATCTGAAGCTACAACTTACATGTGACTACAAGCCGGCAAACTCTTGAAGGCTTACGAAATGAATACGCATTTACATAACGTGTTGGAAGGCGGGATTAAATTAGGAACGAATGCAGCGTAACAAATGTGATACACCCACACCAGGAATCCAAATAGGTCGACATGGCAAGACAAAATTAACCGAAACTATCATGTGCTGTCGTGAATTATGAACCAAATAACTCATGTTCCGAGTTGGATGAGACAAACCGTCTCAACTGAATCACCGTAAGTGCCCTCTGCGGTGGCAAGCGGGCAGAGATGGCATTGTTATTCAGCCATCGCTCGACCGCAGCATGACTAGAGGCTGCCAGCCACTGCAGCGCCGTCTGTGCTGCAGCTAACGCCCGGTCATTAGTATTCAGCGCGGGCGTACGCCACGCAACGTCCGTCCATTTACAAGGGCTGCGCAACCCTCAGTCTGGCTCTGACATGGTGCGCGGCGGTGTTTGTCTGCAATCTGAAGTGAACATGCATTAAATCGCATTTCAGTGCGGCGCGATGGTGGTCTCTACGCTCTGGGCCGCACATCTGTCCGGCCGAGAGGGCGACATTCGTCTTGGGCAGCGGGACAGGCGCATAGATGCACCGCGTACGGCTCAGTAGATGCCGTAGACCATTGGCCGATACATGCGGCACATCATCTCCCCCGCGCGTTTACACGCACGCATGCGCACACGCGAGCAGGCCTGAGCACCCGCTTAACCAATCACTATCGTCGTCAGATGGCGGGTCATCGCCCTCCACCGACGACGGAGCGTCTCGAGTTCGGACAGCCTGCCGCCTGTCGGAACACCGCAGCTGTCACGTGCGACGGCGCAGCCGCCATCCCTCAATGGCTCATTGTTTACGTGGCCCGAGCCGGCCGGGCCGACGACGGCCTTGCTTGGGGCACGAACTGTCCGTGCGCCACGTGCCGGCGCGCGGCCGGGCGCCTCGACCGGGCGCGGCGTCGGACGGGGCGGAGTGAGCCCTCGGGCGTCGGGTACCGCCGGCCCGCTCGCCGCTGCCAGGGAGGATGTTCACACAAACTACGTCGCTCACGGCGACCGGCAAAGTACAACCGGATTCTGAAGCCCGCGTTTCAACCTGCAATGCCTTCCTTCAGTCAACATATTATTTCAATATTCAGGAAACGGTTGTGCAGCGACAGCATGTGAGCCAGTTGGAGGTGCCTAGTGGAATCAATTTTCCTGACTGGCCAGTTTAAAGTTGGCGCCGATCCCGACAGCTGAAAGGTTGATAACAAAATATGGTCGGCACGCCTCATGAATATTAAGTGGTGCTGCCCAGTCACACTGATGACTGTTCATGTCTCAGAACTCCAGCCCATCCTGTTTTGACTTTTTGTACTTTCGGCGTGAGCTCCTAACGTGTCGGTTTAGTTTCGCTGGCCTCAATGTGTAATGTGCCATTGCAACTCGGCTACAAGTCTCGTCCTCCCTGCGCTAAACGCAGCTCGCTTCGTTGAGCCGCCTGGGGCACGTCGCTTTGAACCGAAATGTCACGGCAAGAATCCAGTGAAGAAGCAGGAATCGTTCAAGAACAATGCTCTGATTGTCTCGAAGTCGTGCGAGGGTGCTTTAGAGTCTCTGTCTCAAATTTGTCAAAATCGGGCTCGAGACTGTGGGACCGGAATACGCGGGTTCTGGCAAAACTTGAAGTTGGTGCGTATGGCGGAGTGGTTCCTAAGCTACAACCCTGATGCGTGCACGTTGAGTGGTGCGACATGCACGCATCTCGGACAGTTTGAGGACCTCATCCGGTTTCCGCTCACTCCCGCACACCCCGGCTCGCGTTCGTTTTGATCTCTCCAGCCAAAGTGTTCGGTACTTTATCTACGAAGATCTCAAAAAATCACCGAGAGATGGCTCTGGCCTTGTTGCAGTTACCAGCTCAAGGTAGTTCTCAAATATCCGTGTATGCCAGGATTCCTGAGACCGCAGCCAGATTGGGTACAAGACCCTGAATCAGATACGCTCGGAGCAAAAATGATGCCTAATCTGGAAATGGGCATGCATGTCCTTGAGAGCGGCAGCGATTGCAGGAAAGAGCCAACAGTCGGTTACCCACTGAGCCGACATCGCCGTCCGCAAAGAGAGCGCCCCAGTGATGCTACTCACCCGAGTGTGAAACAAAGCGGTAGTCGCCGTCAGCCTCGTGCGTTTGGCTGGCCGACTCCTGCTCACGAGCGCTCGCGAGCGCTCCGACCGCCAGCGCCAGCAGCAGCCGGCGGCCCCTCCTCTGCCAGTTTCATGACGCCGCGAGCCGCGCCGCGGTCTCTTCCGAACACCCACGCTGGCGTCGGCGGCTACCGCCTCATGGTCTGGAACGGGACGGACAGTCAGCGAGGCGCCGTGGCGCGAGACAGGCAGCTTGTGAAACGAGGGTTCGGGCACTGGGACCGGCGGGGGCCCGACGCGTGTCGGTGCCGCGCTTAAGGCGGTACTGATTCGCGCAGAATACACCTCTCACATCCCCCATCAACCCCCCCCCCCCTCCCTGGCCAAGTGATCCACCAGGACAGCCCAGCGCCAGGCCGGGCGGTTTCGCGGGGTAGCCCACTCCTGAACGAGTGGTCCAGCAGGACAGCCCAGCGCTAGGCCGGGCGGTTCCGCGGGGTAGCCCACTCCTGAACGAGTGGTTCAGCAGGACAGCCCAGCGCTAGGCCAGGCGGTTCCGCGGGGTAGCCCACTCCTGAACGAGTGGTCCAGCAGGACAGCCGAGCCGGCCGAGCGGGGCCGGGCTCACGCCACCCTCCTGTCTGCGGATCTGGCCGGCACCCCAGCCACCGACGGCCGTTTCCAACGCAGGCTTTCCAATCCCGGGTCGTTTGGGGACGCCGTTCGGTGGGTTCGGCTGAACAATAGTGAATAAATTAGCAGTTATCGGCCCATATCGGAACGTCGTCTCCGATAGGGCATGACGTACAATGTACTCTGGAGATCGGGCTGATGGGCGGGTTACACACTGCGTAATCGTGACCTTTTGATCGGCGCGCCCGTTGACTTGGTTAATTGCGACACTGAGGTACACACCTGTGTACACCTGAACAATGCAAAACCAGTATCGGTTATATGATGGCGTCTGCATAGCAAGCCCGTTGGCCGCTTGTGCTGATGTGCTTTCATGTGCAGACGTGGCTTTCGGATGCCTTTAAGTCGGTTGCAGCATAAACAGACGCGTGGTAGCCGATAGGGGACATAAGGAACGTGTGCGCGCGCATTGTGAGATAAAATGACGCAGCCAGCGCACGGCTGGAGTTTTGATGGCATTGATGGCACGAGTGAGCATGCGTCCCTGATGCAGTGGGTGGAACGTTCAGCCAGCAAGCAACAGCTCAAGCCAAGTCAAGGCAGCTACAGACCGACTGGATTTAGGCTTCGTACCAACTGAAAGTGGTCATTGTCATTTCGTCAGCCGGACACAGGGCCAGAATTCTCTCCAGGGGGGACGTCAAATCTTGCCCAAATGCCCGCGAATTTGGATCTGATTCCAGCAAAAGTGCCCGTGTCTAGTGCGCATCTCCTAGCCTCTGGAGAGGGGGGTTTGGGGGTTGGGTGGGACATGAGCCCCGTGGCCCCCGGCTACGTCCCACCGTCAGCTCATAACCGTTCACATGCATTTGAGGGGCCCTGGGCCTGTACTACTGCGACCAGCGGCGCGGCGGCCGCGATGCGCCATTTCGTCACCGACGCGACAACGCTCGTGCGCGGGCCCGGTGCACCACGCTCACAAGCCAGTCTCGGCTCTGGAGCGGCCGGCCCGGTCGGCCGGGGTGCGCCCTGGCGGTCGGCCCGATCAGCCCGGGGTGCCCCCTGGCGGTCGGCCGGTGTACGGTCGGGAGCCCGGCCGCGCCCGGGTCGGGGGATCGGTCCGGGGTGCGCCCTAGCGGCCAGCGGTGTACGGTGGGGCCCGGCCGCGCCCGGGTCGGGGGATCGGCCTGGGTGCCCCCTAGCGGCCGGCCGGTGTACAGTCGGGGGCCCGGCCGCGCCCGGGTCGGGGATCGGCCCGGGTGCGCCCTAGCGGTCGCCCCGGGCGGCCGGGGCGCGCCCCAGCGGCCGGGTGGCCGCCGTCGCCTGTCAGAAGGGGCGGCGACTGGCGCGGCCCGCCCGGTCAGACAGGACCGAGCTGGAGGGCGGGCCGAGGGGGGCCCCAGCCAACACTTAGTTCGCGGTGATCGCGGTCGGTTTCGCGTGCTCTCCTGCCCGAGGCTGTTCGTTCTGTTTGTGATCTTGTCGTGCTGAGCGGCGCGGCTTTTGCGTTGATGTGGGTAGGTAATGAGTGGGTGCAGTTTGTTTGCTCTGGCGTAGTCGAACATCACACCATTTCCGAACATTCCTGCCATGCACGAGCGTGCATTTTCCTGGACCGCCACTGACAGCAGAAGCCCAGACATGTCGGCTGATATCAGCAGAAGCCAGACCGGTCGGCTGACATGAGCAGAACACACGGCAGCCGCCGCCGATCTGCCGGTGTCAATCAGCTCGTCCTGTTCGCGCCAGCACCCTCCATCACGCGACACAGCCGGCCAGTAACTGACACACACCCCCAGCCGCGGCCAAGGTCAAACAAACCCTCCCTGCAGCTAAACGACCCGCCAAACGTCCTGCAGCACCTTGTTGTCGGCGCCATGAGCCTTGAACGCGCCAGAATCTGGACGCGACGCCCCGCGTGCATACGACGGGGCGCCCACGGCGCGATGGGTCTGGCTCGCCTGGCGCGATAGCACGCGGTATACGTTACAGTTCAGCGGCTCGCTGGCCCCGCAACTGTAATGTGACCACATGTAGCGGCGGTTTTCCGGCAGCCGACACCGTGTCAATCACAGCGCCGTTAAATGTCATGCAACACTCGGCCTGTACCATGATTTGACCTAACACCGTTATCGCATTTAAGAAGGATACGTGTATATACTCGCTCTTCATATATATAATGGTACGGAAATAACACTTCAACGAAAAGCTCATGAGATAACCTATCCATGGTGGTTAAGATCTGATAATGTGATGTATATATATATATATGTATATCAAAGCAACGCGCTACGCAGCAAATATCTCACGGGCGGATACACACAAATATAATTTGCATATCGCTTCAGCCACGTCACGACACACGCAAGCACAAACAATCCGCCAGAACAGGGCGGTCCGACGTTCGCTCTACGGAGCGGAGGCGGGAGTGCTGCCATATACGGGCCCAATGGCAGCGTCCTCCAATCCGGCTGCGGCGAGGAGCCGACTCCCACGCTTACGCCCGGAGGTGCTCCGTCAAACGGGCCTAATGACGGTGATTTGGAGGGCCGACCGGTCCCACTTCTGGTGCGCCGACCGTGCCGCGCCGCAGCCCAGGCTGGCTGATGGGGCCAGGTGAGGTGGGATGATGGGATAGGATGAGGCGAGGGACGATTGGGTACGGCCGTGATGCGGAAACGGCAGCCCAACAACACAAGATGAGATGACTCATTAATTCGTGGTTTTGGTCAGATGATGTGCTATGGTGCTGCTGGCTAAGTTATAAAATCATTGTAATTTCTTTTAATGCCTTACCATTTATGAATAATAACATATCTTGGTTTAACCAGAACATCATCTGGATTTATGAGATTTCCAGCACCAACAATAGTGAAAGGTGGCCCAATACATACAAAAGCAGTGCATCCAAAGAGCAGACGTGTCTTAGAAGCGTGGACCTCCTGGAAGTACACCCTCCCATTTTCCCGAACCACCGGAGGGGCACTGATAACTGGCTAGGCCACGCGGCTGTATCTGCACGACGGTAATCAACTCGGCCATGCTTATCCACAGGACTTCGTCGTCCTTTGAACTCACCACCCGCCTTGTAGGCAGCAGCGTAATCTGCTCGCTATGGACATTAACCCCGCCTGCAAGCGCCTGGCTCACTTCGAAGTCTCGAGTGGCGCACTGTCCTGCGCGACAGTCCATTTGTCATACATCTAGCCCAGGAAACCGAGGACGCATTTACCGGCCCGCGCGTCTTGACAGCATCTGCAGCGATCTGGCAGCATCACAAGCGGCACGGCGTGCCGTCAGCCTCACCGCGCCACCGCCGCCGTGAATGCTTCCCTGCGCCTTGCACCTCTCCGCGCCCTCTGCAGCGCTCCCGTAACTCTGCCGCAGGCGGCCGTGCCTGTCAACGACCGGGGCTTCATCCCGGCTGCCCCCGTGTCCGGCACCGCGACCGGGTCTTCATCCCGGCCGCCCGCGTGTGAGTCACCACCACTGGGCGTTCATCCCAACCGCCCCATGTGTCAGGCACCACGACCGGGTCTTCATCCCGGCCGTCTCCTTTGTCCGGCACCACGACCGGGCGTTCGTCCCAGCCGCCCTCCGTGTCAGGCACCACGACCGGGCGTTCGTCCCAGCCGCCCTCCGTGTCAGGCACCACGACCGGGCGTTCGTCCCAGCCGCCCCCCGTGTCAGGCACCACGACCGGGCGTTCGTCCCAGCCCGCCCCCTGTGTCAGGCACCACGACGGGCGTTCGTCCCAGCCGCCCCCTGTGTCCTGGTACCACGACCGGGCGTTCGTCCCAGCCGCCCTCCGTGTGAGTCACCACCCACCGGGCGTTCATCCCAACCGCCCCCTGTGTCAGGCACCACGACCGGGCGTTCGTCCCAGCCGACCCCCCGGTCAGGCACCACGACCGGGCGTTGTCCAAAGCCGGCCCCCCGTGTCAGGCACCACGCCGGGCGTTCGTCCCAGGCCGCAACCCTGCGTACCGGTACCACGACCGGGCGTTCGTCCCCAGCCGCCCCCCGTTGTCAGGGCATCCACGACCGGGGGCGTTCATCCCCGGGCCGTCTCCTGGTCAGGCACCACGACCGGGTCTTCATCCCGGCCGCCCCCGTGCCAGGCACCGCCACCGGCCTTCATCCCAATGGCCCCCCGCGTCGTACACCGCTGCAGCGAAACAGCCATGGCAATGGTCGCGACGAACTCCTTAATCAGGTGATGGCAGGGTGGTGCCAGTAGAGCAGTTATGTGAAGCGTCTCTGGTAACCATCAGCGATGTCTTTAGACAAAAACTCCAAAAACTCGAAGTCACGGGCGGATGGCGTCGACGAAGGTCGGTGGGCAATGATCAATCACCTCAAGACAACGACGGACCAATGAGTTGCCGCCGGCCGGCTTTTGGAGGCACTGCGAAGCCATCATTCTCTCTACAAACCCCTGCCGCAGCCGTTTGTGTTGTCTTTAGCTGCGGTTTTCCCCTCTATTTTTCAGCATCCTGCGCGTGCGTATGAGCATGGCGGTCGGCAAAAAACATAGTCATCCGTCTGTTCGATACGGACAGAACGGCAG